TTCGAAAATGCTATAAAAACCAAGAAAAACGATAATTTTCCTGTAGTCTGGTTCCCTGACTCCATATAAGAAGAAACAGAGCAGTTTACATACATTGGGGAATTGTAAGGTCAGGGAACCAGTCTAGCTGGCTCGTACCCGTTCATAGATTTGTAATCGATTGCAAACAAGTGCAATGGTCAATTAGGGCCAGTATTTGAAAAAAAGCCAGTTGTTTCCAACGCTGATCGGCCGATCAGCGTTGGAAATTGATACAAAAATACCACTTTTCTTGAAAATGACAGTATACCAGGTGCCATAATTTTACAGGATGCTTTAGACTGTCATTTACCAACATCCTATTAAGGTATTTCGTAAAAACTTGGTAATTTTATTTTTCGATGTTTGCAAATGTTGTATATTCCCTTTAATGTTTAACAAAGTGGTTAACAAGTACTTACTTTAGACCACAAACTTTTGCCCCATCTGATTACACTACTGGTAGTCTTCAATAATATCCAAAAGGGTTTTGTGTTTACACATGTCCATGTGTGCGTGTACTGTATCATGAGTCACCCACCATAATAGGGTATGAAAGGGGTATGAGTGGGCTTGCTTGCAGGAGGGCCATTCACACTCACAAGGCCAAATTTAGCCTATTGTTGACCCTGTGATGATTAAGTTGGGGAATCCCATCAGGAACCCACTTAATTGTATGCAACTGCCAAATAGTTGTGACATCATGTACGTATTTCTCATTATGACATCCTGCTAGATCCTGAATATATTCATTTACATTTTGTGATCATACTGGGAATGAAGTAAAATATTCAACACTACTTGTTTAGCAGCAGGTCTACTTATAGTCTACTGGTGTGGAGGTAAGGAAGTTTAATAACTGTACTGCAGTAAAAGTTACAATCGCAGTTAAAGCTTTGCTCCATGTACCAGTACATCTTGTGTTCAAGAAATTTTCAAATTCTTTAGTAAATTTCAGGATTTTTTTATTACAGTTTTGTAAACTTTTTATGTAGCTCATGGTGCATACCAAGCAGAAAAACTAGATGGAAAATTGCATGTAAATTATGTGCATGTAAGGAACTGACAGTTTTATGGAGATACATGCATCATGTACATTGTACAAATGTCTGTATTGACCGGTATGTCCACAAGAACACGTGTACCAGTACGTGTTGGTTGTCAAAGAGTATGTTTCCAGGGCAAGATTGTGCAGTCTGCTTCTCAGTTTTTCTATTTTACCGGTTCTTAATTAAAGGCTTGTATTTTGTTAAAAAAAATTGCAACTCAATCATAAAATTGACTCTCCTTCCCCAAGCAATCACGGTCTGTAATCTCACCACAGCAACATCATGCATTTGTTTACATACATTATAACTTGTAAGGCAAATGAGTTTGATTAATTGAGAAGTTTGCTGATTAACGTTCTGTTTCTGACCTTAAGTTTTTGTGTTATAGTGCAGGGTTTTTTGGGTGGGGGTGTGGTGTTTTTATTTATTTATTATTATTATTTTTTTGGGGGTGGGGAGGTCTTTGTTTTAATCACTTGATTAACCTTCCTGCTATTTAAGCAGTCACAGGCAGTCAAAATTCACTGCCACTTCCCACGCTATTCATGTACGTTTAACAAAGGCTAGTCACCAGCAGTCAGATCACATGTTAAGCAGGCACTGTGTCTAGTCAAACTGGGTCAACAGACAAAGCAGGCAAGTTGTGGTCACAGCTGTTTTATCACTCACCCAGAGTCAAACCATATCTGTATCAAGTTACTTAATCAGTCCAAGGCAGTCAATCCTACTTTATGTGGGCTGGGAATTCTTACCGATTGAAAACAGTCACTATTGATTTTGACTGCAAGGACTACTTGGCACAGAATGTATGTTTGTAGGAGGAAAAAATGTTTTAATATGAACACTTGCATGTTTAGTTTTTCAAAAAAATTGTGCTCCACAAAATGATGTATACTTCTGTATCAATGTCCATTTCCTTTTTTCAGTTCCACATGCCTGATTAACCACCACAATCTATAAAAATAACTCCCTCCGCAGTTAAACAAACCCATAAATTAGTAGTCAGCAATCCACCAGCCATCTGTTGGTATGAAAAAGAAGAGAGGACAAGAACCTGGGATGCCCGCCCAAAAAAAAGCATTGTGTGCAAATGAGGGAAATGTTGGGTATTGCACCACCACAGAAATACCCAACCAGTGAATCACCGTACAGGTCCACATATGTGCATCGTATCGATCCAGGTGTTCCAGACAGGATATGAACTGGAACAATAACAAAGAAGAAAGATTCTGTGAACGCCTAGTGTTGACTGACTGTCCGTTGTTGACATTGTAAAGATATCTGTCGTGCACAATTTGAGTACATGTTTTGCTACATAGAGCAAGGTACATGTATTCACTGAACCTGTACATTATCTTAAAAAAAAAAACTTCCCAATTTTCTTTTGAAGACTACAAATTATGCATAAAATGTAAAAGTTTGGACGTGAACCTGCCTTGACTGAAAAAGAAAACTCCAGGCCCAGCCCCTAAAATATACCCTTTTTAGTGAAAAACATTTGTTGGTTAGGGGGTCACTGTCAGAAATTTTTATCCCTCTTTACTTCTAGTCTAGGACCCTAACCTGCTCCAAAACGTTATTCCGTTTAAATCGTTACAGTTTTCATGTCACATACACATTTTTCCCTGGTTTGGAGATTGAGCTCATATGTACCAATATTTTGTACGTTGAAATGCACGCTAACTATAGCCTACCCGTGAGTTAAGGAATAAATTAACAGTGATATTACAAGGTACGGTACCAGTAATTGAACAAATCTGCTGGTAATATTTAGGAGTGGAAAACCTTGACTTAAAAAAAAAAAACTATTCAATATTGGTTTAAAATTAATTGATTACGTTTACGCGTACAAAATGGAAAAGAATAAATAAAAACGGTACACTTAATATGAATTTACATGATTTGGAATATGGCTACTCTTGTTGAGCACATGTACGTGTACACGTATCCATCTGATACCAATATACATGTGTAGTAGAGATGACATTTTAGTAATGTAAACATTACAAAATTATTGTCCAGTGACAGAATTGAGGTAATGGACTGCACTCTCCACGTTGAGAGAGAGCGATGCCTGATTTGCATAATTCATCATTTCTTGGAAATCTGGCGCTCCATTATGGAGATTGCAATTACTGCTGGGACGTCGTCTTGTATGAAGGCAGCACTATGGTCTAAGCCAACATCGTAGCTGCTTTTCTGCACATGTACCGTATGTTCAGGTGTTGGTTTTTAATTTGCCAGTTTTACTGATGTAAATGTGAACAATACTATGACCGTTTTCATGATCACAAAACTGACATTTTTCATTTCTAGAATTAGAGCAAGCAGGATAAAACTGTATGTGTTCAAAACAAATTTGGAATTTAAACTTTTATGAATCCATGTATCGTACATGATTCCTGCATGAATACATACATGTATGCATGTCTACACAAAATATGTACATGTATGTACACATGTGCGTGTTTATGGCGTAAATTGAGGACACACACGTGCAACATCATCGATAAAACGAGGACAGAAACCGAATCGAGGACTCCTCAGTTGGAAAACGTGTACAAAACCTATGAGAGCTGTTGCGAAAGAGTACAAAAGGAAAAGGGAAGAGGACCCAAAAAAAATCCTTGATTTACACCATAAACAAACTCGTGCGTACATGTACGTACATGCTGCCCATTTTCACTGTGCATTCTACTGTACTTTATGTAAGTTGAGCATGTGAGTACATGTACATGTATGTTGTACTGTAGAGGGAGGTCCTTGCTCTATGGTTGTACAGTACAGTACATGTTGGCATTTGATTTGTAGTCATCACTCTGTGCACACCTTACATACCGCGGTTAGGCAACCCTGTATGTTCAGACCTACACACATCCTCTATGCCTCAAATGTCACAGTGATGCACAAGCAGGGAGGAGCGGTCGGCTCAAACGTCAGAGGGAGAGAGAGAGACAGGAGATTGCCCCGGCCGATGAGCGGTAAGATGACTCATCCGTTTCTCTCTCTATCCTCATCTCATCTTTAAGGATGCGGGCAGTGTGTGATGCAAGAGGCAGGATGTTCAGCCCGGGAGGGGTTTTTCTTGATAAAGACTTCATCATTGAGTGGAATGCACTTGTACACCTGATGTTGGATGCACTGATGCTTGTGTAATTTTTTTTTTTCATCGATTCCGGAGAAACAGGATTGTTGGTGGCACATCCTGGTATCAGCTTTACAGTATTTAATGTTCTGCTCCTTGTGAAAGAAGATCAGTTGACATCAAGGTGTCCTTAAGAAAAGTGGGTGTAATTGAAAAATTCAATGCAATTTAGTAGAGCATACTACACACACTGTACATACATGTGTCAAGGAATGCGGTGCTTTGAAGAAGGAGTGTACTCGTAGGTATTGAGTAGACTGTTGTGTTTTGATTGTTTTGTCTGTCCATGTATGATGTATATGTACATGTACAAATGTACATGCATGCATATTTCCTTATAACGTACAGTATTCATGTGGACATGTATAAATGTATGATGTACATGTACAGCCATGTACATGTACATTTACGTGTGTGCAGTTTTGCATTTCATTTTATACAATGTACACTTGAAACATCATTATCTTACCGGGAGTTTTGCAAGTATCGGTACATGTAAATGTATGTACTGTGCTGAACATGAAGTACATGTACAAGTACATACCTACATTTCCATATGTACAATGTTCATGTTCAGTTCACGTACCGGTACATTGTAAATATCATATTGTGTAAGTATCCAAAAAGTGTCTAATACATGAAGTGTGCAAATATTCAACCTTGGAAACTCTGCGCATTTCTCTGTATGATGTCTGATTTTTAATCATTTTTGTTTGTTTGTTTTTAAAACTTTGGATGTCTTTCCTTTACAGACGTCACCAATTAATATCTTTTTATTCTTTTTGCAGCAGGTTGATTGAGAAACTACTGCAATTCTGAACTCTGACTTCACTTAATACTTTCCGATGTTGTGCTGATGATTAAGAGGTAATCATGGACACCACGCCAGATACAAATCATCAAGCAGCAAACATCCGGCTGAATGCCGCATCTCAGGAGATGGAGACCTCCGGTGAGATACCCTACATGGACGAAGATGAGCCCGTCCCATCTCCACCATCCTCCAGATCGGGAACTCTTAAAGCCCGCAAGAACTCCAAGGGCCGGAGTCCCAAATGCTCCCCGATGATGGTCAACAAGGAGAGCAGCATCCCCATCGTCAAGAAGGAGGCAGAGAAGGTCATGGAGATGTTCCTCAAGCGGCGGAGTATGAGCATGAATGATGCCATCCTGCAAAAGGAGTTCTTCAGTCAGGAGAGACGGAGGAAGAAAGACCGAGCGCCGCGCAATAATACGGTGTCTATATGCTCCACTATGAGCACTGACTCCAGCGACTATCGCAACAGTGGAGATTACGAGGAGGCAACGCTAACGAGAAGCAAGGGCAGTTTCAGCCGAGCTTTGGAGAATTCGATACTGCCGGGAGATGTGAAACGGGAGCAGTCATCTGCCGACGATGAACTGTCATCGTCTGATCATGAACTGGACAAGGAGAAATCTCGGTCAGCACCTTCCACCCTGCGCATGCAGGTTGGCCGGGTGACTGAAGAAGACATTGAAAAGCTTCGAGCGGCTGGTAATGGCTATGCCCAGCACGACAAAGATGGCGTGAAGAAAGAGCCGAAGAAGAGAGACATACCAAAAAGGCGTAAGAGCCTGTTGGACAAAGCCAAGCAAATTATCCGCTCTCCTAGCATGCAGAGAAAGCATGATCACTCAGAAGAGAAGGAGCCTCCTGCTGGTCCCAATGAAACTTCTGCCAGTCGGTCCAAAGTCCATCAAGAAATGAAACACACTGGCTTTGCAAACAGGCTGAAGAGGACATTTCGACGAGACTCCCGCAAAAATTCCCTGAAAACTGAATCCGAGACGAAAACTCCCACCCCACCCAACTCGGCTTCTGCAGAATCTAAGGACGCAGCCAAAACGAGGCGCTGGCCAAGCTTCCAGCTCAAGAGGAAACCACGGAAGAGTGCATCAACTCCCACAGACGACAGCCTCGCCGGTGCTACGCCCTCGGATACCACCTCAAATGCGGACTGGGCCTCAGTCAGTGACTATGACCACACCCAATCCATGACCGAATTTGACCGCAGGAAACTCCTCAAAGAGATTCACAATGGTGTTCAGTTGCGTCGTGCGCAGACGGCTGCCGGCAGCGATTCTCAGCTTCACTCCAGAGAGGCCAAAAAATTGCCGTCCCGGAGTGCAAAGGAGCTAGAGGCCAGCGGACTTGGGTCCACAGGCACTCAGACCCCCTCCTCGGTTCTGTCAAGTTCCCAAGAGTCTGGGATGTCATCTGACTGGTCATCGGGTGGGTCTGGCCAAAAATCACAGAGACCGAGGAGTCTTAACTTGACAAGATCAAAACGGCATGAAAGAAACAAACAGGGACTTAATGGCAAGTAGTAATTAAATCAGCCAAATCTTTCACCTTTTAACATCCCAGTGTTTCCCACACAGTACAGGCAGGGTGATTCCCAAAAAAAAAGGAAACCCTAAATCCATTTCTGACAATTATAGCAAAAGCAAATGTTGTATTTTCCCTTTAAAATTCTGTCCACGGATCACAATAAAGTAAGTGTACTTTCAGCAAAACGAAAACAATTCACGTACATCCTTATGTGAATTGTTTTCGTTTGCTGAAGAAGCACTTACCTTTTTTGTGATCCGTGGACAGAACTTTAAAACGGTGGTTGTGTTTAAAATCCCATAACTTGAAAAGTACATGAGTGATTTGAATGATTCATGTACTAAAAGAAAGCTTATGAATTGGGCTTTCATATTCTAGATTTTAAAAGTGCTACATGCAGAACTCCATTTGAGTTTCCTTTTTTCTTTTACTCGCCCTCTACAGCCATCATATGACCTGCTGACAAAGTACATGCAAATTTCCAAATTGTGAAAGACGTATGACATTGATGCTGCCATCAGTCACATTATGTTTGGATTTAGGATTATTCAGTATCTGTCATAGATGTTTCTTTGATGTTTGTTACTGCAAGAAATTTATGTGTGAGTCATGTAAGAGTCAAGTTTTGGTTGTACACGAAAAGTTTCACTTACGATGAATCATTTACCATTGAAAACTGCATTTTATCACTCAGCGAAAATGCAGTACGGCAATCCGGAGGTAACAGGTTCAAACCCCACTCCAGTCAAATTTCTTTGTTCAACTTTAAAATTATTATCTTAAAGTGCAGTTATGTTTGTTTCTGAAGCTCCTTTGTCGTTTCTTTTGCAGATGTCTTGAAGTTGGATAGGATAACCCCGGGTCATGTCCGGCGAGACACCGACACAAGGCAGCCTGTCATGCCCACTGCAGAGGGGGACAGGAATAGCCGGGACCTTGAGTTGGATGGAGTAGAAGACGCTGGGGATGATATGAGTGGTAAATCCAACAAACAATTTCTGTATGAATATGGTGGATCCCATATGCACAAGTTAACAATTGTTGTTTGCTGTGATATGGGATATGACGTTTTTAACACCCGAGGGGCGCATAGCATCCGAGGCGAAGCTGAGGGTGCATAGCACTCTGAGAGGGTTAAAAACGGCATATCCCTTATCACAGCAGTCAACAATAGTTTTGTCCTTTTGTGCCAATAAGCCAAAAAGATAAGAGTTGAAACTTACTGTTTGAAAAATAAATTAAATCACTGGGATGTAACCTATGATAACTGAAGGCTTTGATGTCCTGCTGGACTTGAGACTGAGCTGTTGACGTGGCAGGTTCCACACGCGCGCGCGCAGTGAATGCAGTGTGCGATATCACTGATCTCCACTGATTGGTCTGTTGCTTTTCCTAGTTATTTTCTGATATTTGTGCATCAAACATTTTCGAAAGAAAAATTTTCTGCTAGCAACTCCATGAAATAAGACCAAGTTCAGGCTTATTATTTAACGTGGAAAATATCGTCAGAATCTTCTCAGAGATATCTTCCCCCCCCCTTTTTTTTAACTCGCAGTTGGAGGAGGAGACGAAGATGCCACACTGCAGCGGCCGTCCAAGCGAGAGAGGGAGGAATTCTACAAACGAATCGCTGACCGGCTTGCCCAGATCGGAGACCGGTTCGTGACAGAGTACCAGGAGGGTGTTGTTGAGCCCGATGAGTCTTCCGGATCCGACGTGAGACTCAGGGCGAAGGAGCTAGCTGCGACAGCTGCTCCCATGGAGACCAGTGCGGCCACAGCTGCAGGTGGTGCAGGTGAGAGGGGTGCAGACAGTAGACCTTTATTTCTGCTCAAGTCTTGTTGCTTGAATTTTTTTTTAACAAGGAGAAAACATTTCATTTTCTAACATTCATCATCATATCTGGGGCCAATTTCACGACGCTGCTAAGCACAAAACTTTGCTTTGCACTAAAAAGTCTGGCTTATAATAGCAGGTTACCGGCCAACATTCCACGTGATGTATTTTGCTCGTGATTAGTATTCAGCTGCTGTTTGCTTAGCATGAAAATCACATGAAGTTTTGGTTGATAACCTGCTTTTATAAGCCAGACTTTTTTTGAGCCAAGCAAATTTTTTGTGATTAGCAGTGTTGTGAAATTAGCCCCTGGTACTGAGCATTAATTTTTTTTCGAGGTGCTTACCTTACATAGCCCACTTGTTAAAAGCCACATCAGATCAATTGCAATTACCCTAAAAATTACATAGCAATTTAATGATAGAAATCTTGCTCTGAGTGAAGATAGGATTGATATCAAATGCACTGTAAACATTATCCCATTTAGAAGAAAAGTAACATTGAAGGTGGTTCCAGAATCAAATCAAATTTCAAGCTAAGGATCAAGTTACATGGAGCTCCCAACATTAGGCTATGTTTAGTTTAAGAATTTTTACTAGTTTTGTTGCTGTTGTGGCGTCGGACTTGGGGCAGTGTAATTTCTCACTGTGAAATTGTGGGGTGGCGTAATTTCTCACCGTGAAATTGTGGTTGCAAAGAAAGGCTTTTGTGGGAGGATTCTTGTTACACAGTTTTCCAGTGGTTATGATACTTTTTTTGTATCTGAGTATGGCTTTTTTCTTTTTCAGAATCGGACGAAAGACTATTTGAAACCATAGGTGGAAGGATACGAGACCACGTGGATGGTTACCGAGCTGTAAGTGCAGTGAAATGAGTTTTGAGGCCCATGTTTGGGATTGCATTTTAGGAAAAGTTTGCGACTTTAGTCTCCTGAATGGTCAAGGCATAGATGCACTGACCAAACGTGAACGTCAACAGTTCGGGTTTGGCAGAACCATTTTTTTGGATTATCAGTCACTTTTCCGCAAACTTTTCCAAAGTGAAATCAACCAATCACAGCAGGGCTTTGTAACTACTTAGGCTACTGTGTTCAATTTATCAAAGACTTGGAATACACTGTCCTCTATCATCAAAAATACAAAAAAAAAAAAAAAACCAACAAGCTTCTTGTATAACCACACACTTTAACCACAAGCAGACAAAAAAAAATGCACAAAGGCGGCTGAATCATTCTGAAATATAATTCTAAACTATCTGCATCGTGGAAAGATATTTCATGTACCTATGGGCTCCGTGCACAAGTACCCCATCAACGACCAGAAAAGGAGAGTTTGGAGTGACCTAGACTGTTTCCCGATCCATCCACTGCGTATTTCGAATGTATCCCAAGTTATTGGAGGCAGGGATTAGTCTCGGAGACCATCTCCAGTTGAATTCGAACGTATTCGCGCCGACGACGCCTGACGGTGGCAAATAGCTTTTGCACATTCAGGAAGTCGCGCGTACTTCGCACGCGAACCAATTAAGTACGCGCACGCTGTGTGTCCCGTCCACGGAGCTCTCAAAAGAGGTAAAAACGCGCCCGCTTTTGTTGGCGCACGGAGCCCATAATGCAGACATGTGCATGTAAACTTCTGCTTTGTCACATGATACTAACATTTTGGTAAACTGTCCAACTACTCAGCTGGCTTTGTTTTTGATTAATTTAAAAACAGATTGAAGATCTGGCAAGGGCACAAGCATTATCAAACTTCTTGTCTGCTGTGGTGTAGTCCATGGCATTTTGTATGTCTATGGTGTGCATATGGCACCTGAGGCAAAATCTATTGGCACCTTAATGCCATGATATAACAAGTAAAATATAGGTTTTCCCGGCCAATTTCCTGAAATGTTCATTCACTTCTGAAAATCGGTCATTCATTTTCGTCTGAATATGAATGCATATCTTTAATACCATTTCAATTCAACGAAAGTTCAATCGTTTGCATTGTCTGTGCATTCGGTTTTGAGAAACAGATGGCCAGTTGCGTTACCTGTGCATTCATTTACGCAAGCATACCGTATGGAATACAATTTCGTGAATGTGCAATCAAAAGTGCGTTTTTCTCATTCAAAATAGCAGATTACATCACAGAACATAAACTAAAAGTGAAATAGAATGGTCAATGTTTGAAATCGCCTTCTAAAAGCAAAAAAGAAGTCTTGTAAATGAATCTGAATGAACATAAACGAAAGGTGCTGCTAAATCACTTTATTGATTGAACTGAAATGGAATCGAATGCTCTGGTAGCGAAAATGAAACGCGTGTTCAGAGCGATTCTCAAATTCAGACGAAAATGAATGACCGATTTTCAGAAGTGAATAAACATTTTAGGAAATTGGCCGAGAAAACCTATAGTTGGCAGAACTTAACACTGAGTAGCTCACCCGGCCGTATTTCATCTCATTTGATGTGATTAGGACAGATTGATTTAAATTTCAGTTGGGTCAAAAATATATATAAGTGGCATTTTTAACTTTCAGTTTTCATCAGGACAAAAGTTTGGATACTTTTTGTTCTGTTTTGGTGGGATTTAGTGTGATTTGATTTAGTTTTGTTTTGTGTGATAATGATTTGAGTTTTCTTTGATTTGACTGATTTGTTTATGTTAAAATCCCCCCCTAGAGTGAGGTGATTGTATTTGAGCTCCTAAGGTTAAGTGGTAATCTGATCGAATTGCCACTTTCACCCGACATTGATATCTCCAGGGTATGTTCAGTCCGATTCTGTTGCAATTATAACCAAATAGTTGCTTGATCCATCTAGCTGCCAGCTTTTGCACTTTGACACCCACTAACACGCGGTTGTACATGTCATTTTTCATCTGCGTTTCATCTGCACCGTCTTCGTGCAGTGATTTTTAACACCGGGGTGACCAAGTTTTTTCCTTCTTTTCCTCTTGGAGCACTGTGTGGATTGGGTTTGTTAATGCCTTACTGATCCTCTGGATTTTCACCAGATTCTAAAAAAAATCTTAAGCTAACCTTTCAGGCCTAGACTGAATTTGTCTTCATTTTCGTTCTGTCAAGGAATTCTTCTCTCATCAACATACATTTAAGAAATGAACTGGAAAGCATCCAGAGAGCGCAAACCTCAGTCAAGGCTGAACAATTCCCCCGCCATGTTGTCAGTACACCCAAACAAAGTACTCGCATATCCATTGGGCTTTCATATTTTGTTTCACATTTCCCGCTCCCATAACATCAAATAGGCGAGTCCATTGACCTTTTGGTTTCAATACATGAGCTATGCGCTCAAAGACGGCTTGCTGCATTACCACACACATCTCTACACAAAGCATATTCGCACAAAATGGTGTAGAATCCTTTAAAAAAATCTTGCATCCAGACCCAGATCCGGATCACTTCCAAAATCTAATCGATTTGTACTTGTACCAAGGACCACCCTTTTAAAATAATTCCGTGAAAATACGTCCATAACTTTTTGAGTTATCCTGTTAACAGACAAAGCAACAAACAAGCAAACAAATAAGCAAACCAACGCTGATGAAAACATAACCTCCTTGGCGGAGGTAATAATACAGTAAGACTGGAACTGCAACATGTAAAATGTACACATCTACCACTGTGTTCCTTTGGAGTGAAAGGTGGAGTTTGTTCAGAGGTTCTTTCCTCATCTTCCAGCACCTTTGAATTGTATAATGTACCCATTCTACTGTGTGGATTTATTTGGTAATCTCTGCTTGATCAGACCATTTTTTATTTTCGCTTTGGGTAAACTCTTTAAAGGTAGAGTCCATCATTTGTAATTTGTGCGTTTTGTTCATTTTGAAGCAACCCAAGTGCTCCAAATCTAAAGAAGGGTGCTGAACAACTAACCTGATGAAGTGTTAGCTCAGTGAATGATGTATATTCTGAGAAAACAATATTCTAGGATCTCGATTTCAAATCAGAAGTTGCTGAATCATGTTTTGAATTGCGCCCAAATTCAGCATCTGGGACACGTTTTCATTCAGTCGATTTCAGCTACGCGAGGTCGCGCACTGAACCGATGAATTATAGCAACCATTATAGTGGGTCATGTCAACGCTTGCACTTGCATCGCCGAATTAAACTGCTAACAGAAATTTACAAGAATGTATCTTTAGATGCATCTTTGGAGTTGGCCTTCTTTCATTGATTTTTCAAAATGACAGCTTGCCAGAAAAAAATAATTGTACAGGGAGTTTAATCCCATTACTATCTTTAAAGCAAGTATGCTTTTCATCATTAGTTACATCAGTTACTTTTGGATAGCTGCAAATGATGGCCTGTAGCTTTAACTTTATCTGCTTCTCGTCTGTTCTTCAAGGAATAGCGCAAGATATTTTTTGTTTCCAGAAATGAAGAGTTGGTCAGTTAGTTTCGTATTGTTTGACTAAGTGGTCAAGGATTTATTCACATTCCTTACTACCATCCTGGACTTGAACACACATGTACTTCGTCAATTGCTTTCTTAGATAACATGTGCATACACTTTTTCATTCATCATGACCTCCCTTTAAGCATCTGGTAAAATTAATTTACTAGCAGCATTTGTACCATAAAGCTTTGCACCTGCAGCTCATAGTTTCTACATTATTAAAAGAGGATTGCTGTTGAAGATCTGCACTTCAGTATTGATCCATTAAGGCCAAAAAAAAAAAAATATTCGGTCTCTAGTCAGACCAAAGTTTCGGAATTGACGCGGCGACGCAGCTTTTTTTTTGTTTTTTTTTTTTGTTTTTTTCTTCAAGCTTGGATTGTACAGACAAGGTGGGGTACTATTTTGCTTTTTTTGGTGTCCTCATGTACATTGGTGTCCTCCATAATTTGCCTTGGTGCTCTCGATCATTTGCCTTGGTGCAATTTCCCATTCCTTGGTGCTCTTTGGTAGAAAAAAATTGAGGAGGTGCAGCAATAGAGGGTGCTGTTGGAGCTACCGCAGAACATTTTGGAAAAAAAAAATTTGACGCGCATTATTAAAATCGACGCGCACGCTGACCAGAGACTGACTTATTATTTTTTTTGGCCTAAAAAAACTACATCTAACTCTGTGCTTGGAATTAAAATATTATGCACAATTTACCTCTTACATTGAAGTCTTACTCATGCAAACGATTCAATTTAACTCAAAAACAAAACATCAAAGAATTTCATTGTCATGAGTTACAACTTTAATTTCATTGTAATGAGTTACAACTTGGATGAAAACTAATTCTTTGGCATGACCTACAAACTTTTTATATCATGTCAAAGGGTTTATGTGTTTGTCTTAACCAGTTGCTCATGCAAATTAGTCTGCTACGGTTGATCATCCGCTAGCCCATAAAGCGGGCAACAGACAGCAAAGCTGCCTTTCCCACGTTGCATTATTATCTATCAATTAAAGAATTATAGTCTATTAATTGCCAACTGTAACTGCCCCCTTTTTGGTGTTGGTCAAAGTTTATAATAACCAGAAAACAACGTACAATTCGTTGTCCGTGCAACAAGGTCGTATCTCCTAAAACGGCGTGTGACGTCATGACCGTGAAATGCGAGTTTTCAGTGTCAAAAGGTTGTATCTCGCTTAAAATAACCCAGATGTACACACAAAGTCAATGGACGTCGCGATACGCGAGATACGACCTTGTTGCAGGGAGTGTATTCGCACGAGATACGACTTTGTTGCAGAATCGAGTTCAGACCTTGTTGCACCGACGCGACGATTTAATAAAGTGGCCTTGATAAGCTGCCAACAGTTATTCCTATGTGCGTTTTATCTTTACTAACTCTCTCATTCCTCACTTCTCTCTATTTCTTGGTTTTGCCCACTTTTTCGCAAACACAATTTTTTTTTTGTATCCTTTGCTCTGCAAACCCTCCCCTGCCCTCATAATTCCATGCTAAATTTCCTTGTTGATTTTTCTATTCCAAATGCTTCCCATTTCTCATTTGTTTTCGTTCACAATCCCTGTCCATACCTGTTATCCCACGCTTCAAAACCATGTTTTGCTTTCCTGAAATCCCCACGATTATGTTGGTATGATTTTGAATACCCATACCCCACTTAATACCCCACACCCTGGCCACACAGCGCCACAACCAACACCTCCACCCCTTCTCACCACAGTCGATCCTGTCGGTGGTGCGAGACCACACCTACGCGGTCTTCCGAGACACCATGCAGGGACTGATTGGCCAGGACACAGGGTTCGAGCAGCTGGCCCTGGTCTTCAAGTTCACCAAGCTGGCCATGAAGATTGCCCAGCACTACGGCTCCAGGGCCAGTGACATCAAACAGAACAGCCTGCGGTACATCGGCGATCGATTCGCTGCCTGGCTGGACAGCCAAGGAGGATGGGTAAGAATACAATTTCGTTTGGCTTTCTCTTGCCCTGTATTGTCCGACATTTAATAGTGATTGGTTGCAGTGCCCGCTGCTCTATCACATGAACCAGGCTGCTGACCCTGGCAAGCTTGTAGGCCGAGTGGTAAGACATCTGCACTAGTGGGCAGAAGGTTGCGGGTTCGAGTCCCACCTAAGTAGGCATGTGATTTGCTTCTCGCAAGCCTTCAGACAACGCAGAGTATACAATGTTTATCAAATTACATCAAAGGGCGCAAGCCAATATTGAATGTACATCTCCCTGACGTAAAACTCCATCCTACATTTAATAGTGTTCCCATATTGTGAGGGATTTTACTCAAGAAACCCCTACAGTCAAGATAAACTTGATGAAAACATTGAGTCTGTGACCTGAGCACAGGCCTCTAGTCCAGTCATTCATAGGTCCTCACAAGTCCATCACAAGTTATACCAGTCCCAAGTCACAATCTGTTCAATTGAACTGTGACATTCATTTTGCATGGTTCATCTCCTGTTACTTGTTACTGGAAGTGTAAATTTACGTGCGATGAATTTGACTAATATACATGTAGATTTTGATGGACAGAAGACACTTGAAGATTTTGATGAACAGAAGATCAGTTGAAAGCTAGTAGTTTTGGATGGATTTGATTGCTAATGATTCCAAAAGTGAATCTTTGTAAGTCTAGTCCCCTTTTCCTCCTGTGACATCCTGCAGGGAGCTGTGGTGGATTCCAGTGACGAAGAAGAGGAGGAACAGTCTCATCATGGCGAGTCTGAAATTGATTGATGTTGAAGACAGCAACGTAAGATATTTTCTTCGTGTTTTTGCATTAAAATAATTTGTTTTAACAAGAAAACGTTTAAAATTTTCGTTTTTGGTTTTCATACCGTACACGACGTCATGTCCAGAAATTCAATTTTGGTTTTAGCATTTTTTCTTTTGGCAGCTGCTTAAAAGTAGAATGTATGTTTATGGAAAGGCAATGTCTAAGCAGCATATGCCTACACATGTACTTGTAAGTCTTATCCAAACACCGTGAAATTTCTTTGATTCATGATGCACAGAAGTCACGATACGCTTTTAAAGTACAGATTTTTATCAAAAAAATGAAAATTTGTTTGTGACATGAATGGGTTGCCATAGTAATCATTTGACATTGCCGTGATCAGGTATATAATTTTTCTCAATGATTTTGCAGGCATGCAAATTTTCCTCAGAGCAGTTGAGTTCCTCTTTTGTTTTCACTTCACACTTACATTGTAAATGCCATGAAAACTTGAACAACGCTGTATATAGTCTTGTAAAGCTTGGGATTTTCTCTTATTTTTTGGTTATTTCCCAGTTGCATGCCTGACTTTCTCCTCGCATATCAAGGCATTACTAAAATACTGAATTTTCTATGCATGAAATGAGACATGTCAGCAAGTTCTTTTGCATATACTTCACTAAAGTTCTTTGGCTCAGAACTAAAATATCCATCAAGTTGCAGACATCATATGATTTTTTTTGCAAATTGCCATGCTTGCACTCATGTTAATCTGAACTTTTAAAGTTTGAAAAACAAGCTTTGGGCTTCTTCATAAACTGTTTGGTAAAAAAGTTTTTTCATCACAAAAGTTTATTTATTATGAATATTTGAGACATACATTGGATTTTTAGCATTTTATTCTTAAAGATTTTGAATTACACATACTTTTTTGTTCACTAGATGTGAGTGGCATATCTCATTAATGTGTTAAATTCTAAATCCAGTATTCATAGTTAACCTAATATTTGTACACATGTGTAAGTAAGATGGCTAATTAACTTGTACATATTCTGTAAGAAATCTTAAATTTTAACGAATCATATAGAGAATGTCTAAAAGTTTATCAATTTCTTAAGTGTCGTCTTATCATCTGTTAGCAATCCACTTCAGCTGCAATTGAACTTAGTTTATGGATTTTTTGTATTGTACTTAGATGAATATTTATCAGGCGATTTTTGAGGAATGGAATTATTGCCAGTTCTTCAATTTAGCAATTCCAATGTTAGTTCGATATTTTTTTCAACTTTGTGCATTCCCAGAGAAACTGAATTCAGGCAAATCTAGTTTCTTGGATATTTGTGCAAGAGACCTTGTACTAGTAAATATGGAGTACCGAAGTGTGACGTCATTTAGAACCAGAAAGTGTAGTGCAAACGAATGCAGTACGCGCGCATGTTGGTTCACGGGCTGAATCACGCGCTAATGTCTTTCACACACATTTTGTGCGAGTGACCTATTCACTACGGTACTCCATACTTGTACATGTACATGTACAAGTGCATAATCATGTTGTACAACTATGTATCTACCAAATTCAAACACTATGTGATGTACATACATGTTTGTACCAGAGCTTCATCTCTGGCCACATCTTTGTCGCTTGCCCAAGATTCCTAAGAATCATGCTTTGTTCAAACTCTGTCTCTCTGAAGTTGGAAGTCGACTACAGGATCAAAATCATGATGTTGGAGCCTGAATCCAAAGTCGGAGATGTAGCCGGGATTTTGTAAACCTCTAAAATACGTGTATACAAACAAAACATTTGTTTGTTGGGTCGTGGCCCAGCAGAGTGCTTCATTAAATGCATACATATGCAGGCCAAGGGTGTCAGGATGCATACATTGTATGCATTTTATTTTGGTTCTACATGCATATTCAAATTAACTCAAAGATTGAAAACTCTGAAACCCTAGAATGTAGCATTTCTGGCTCCCAGTTAAAGTATACGTGTAGTATCAAGGTTGTTTTGAATTCTTTCCCCCGATGCAATTCAGTTTCACAAATGCACCAATAGTGCCGAAATTGTCCTTTTATCAAGCACATATCCAACGTCAGTTTCTTTTACTTTAAAGAATATTTTACACTTTTTTAAAAGACATTGTTTGGTTTTATCAAATAAGAAATTCGTGTGTTTTCGATTTGTAGACCATCTTTGTTAAACAAAGTGTGTAAATTTATGTGCCTTTTGAAAAAAAAAATAATTTCCATTTGTTCATTGTAATTTCTTCCTCTTTATGAAAGATATATCAGTCATATCCTGTACATGTACGGTAGCTCACTTCTTTAACACTAGCAATTTTCCCCTTCCAAATTCCTGTTGAAAAAAATCCAAGGAAAGTGTTACAGTTTCTGTATTATTGGGCAAAACTAACTGTTTGGACAAAAGCGACTGTAATTAATTCATGCATATTCAACGGCTGAACATTTTAACGAAGACTGCAACAATCATGATAAACATACCGGTACGTACATATCCATATACGTGTATGTACACGTATCAGGCCCATAGCCAGCCTGGTGAAAGGGGGTAGTGGTCATTTTTACAATAAAGTGGACCTTTACATTACTATCACTGCGTCCCCTTGCTGAGCTTGCAGACAGATTGTGTGGAGACTACATATGCTAGACCAGGCTGCTAGCCACACACCGCGCGCCGCTACAAGTACAGCTCAGACCAGAATAACGATACCAGGACGTGCGATGTGACGACAAATACATAGGCTATAAAGTAGTGCGTGATGGAGCTTCGTCTAAATATTTCCTGTTGAACTATCAACGTGTAACCATTAAGTTATTTTTCCAAAGATAGCGCACGCAAACACATTTTGAGTAAAACTAAAAATTTGACCTGCTGCTGATTTGGGAGGGGGGGGGGGGGTTTGACCTTCCCTGGCTATGAGACTGTGTACATGTATGGTGATGGGGTCCACACTTGAGCAGTCTGGTGCATAAATTCATATAATGAAAATCTCCAATGAAAGAGAAATACTTATTTTAGAGTTCAGGTTTATACAAATGTCCACCTCCATCCAATCCAAAATTAGAATGCAACATGCTTTCAGAATTGCCAACAAGATACAATAATATGTGTTGATAAGTGACATGGAATCAATGTATAATTCCTGGTGCTAAATACAAAAATGTATGACTTGGTTTCTAATTATGCTTTTACAAAATTAAAAATTGAATTGTGTTTTTTTTAATGGAACCCCTTTTTACGACAACTATACAATGTATGTACGTATTACTAGTACAATAATGTTAAGATGTACATGTATAAAAGTGTTAACAGAGTACTTAGTTTAGAACCCCACTTTAGAGTACTAAAATATTTATGAGTAGAATTTGAAGTTCATTTTTTTAAAAAATAAATGCTGCAGTTGAGAATGTTTAACTTAATTTATTGTGTTTTACAGAAATTGTTTGAAGTGGTAGTGGTAATGATCCTGAACAAAATTTGTCTGGGAAAAAATCCATATGTGTGTATTTTAATTGTTGATTGATGATACCTGTTACAACTTACTCTAAGTACATCTAATGAAAATTGTGTCAATATTTGTCAAGTAAAACTTGCAACTTCATGTTTGGATTAATATATCAGTGACTAAGACTGTTTGTGTAGTGGCAAATATCATGGAGTGGCTATGCTGAGAGAAATTTCATTCGCACATACTTCAGTTTTTTTTATAATAAAGTAGCAAATACAGGTTATAACCGTTTCATAGAGGATGTTAATGCTTTAACACTTAGCATGCAGCATTTTTGACCAAGCAACTTCCAAAAATGTGTTGTGGGTTGTGATTCAGCAGCTTTTGTCCAAGACAAAACTTGAATAGGTGTGCTATCGGTAATTATTACAAATGAAATTGCGCACGAGTTATGAGAAATCAGAGGAAGAAGAGTAGAACAAATTGTATCAGGGATGTTTTTTAATTTGTTTTTTAACCTGATATAAAACTGATCTCCATCTAAATTATAGAAAAGGTCTTTTGAAGTTTGAGTTAACAGTGTGAAAGTGAAATAAATGGGAAATTCCTAGTTACTATTTTATGTGTGGTAGACTTTAACCAGTTTGTGCCGGATGACGCAAAGGTTTTGCGGTACTCGGAACGGATGACGGATAAACACGCAACGAGCGAGGCTGGAAATATCTCTCAGCAACCCGCTCGCAGCAAGCCAGGCCCCGAAATATGAGTGTGCTGCCCAAGGGTGATGGCTTCAACCCGCCTGGCTTGAGGTCGAGTGCAAAGTAATCCCACGCCTCGTTCTGTTCTTGTCAAAATAATCCCGGCGTGAACTGGTTAAAAAATGATTGATGACTCAATGGAAAAACAAAAAATAGTACAAAAAACCACCTGGCTAATATGGTAACATTTTCACGGTTAGATATTGTACATCATAATGATGTTCTTTGAATATATGCAAAGAATGAAAAATCATTGTAGCTTACAAAAGGAAGCCATGGTATGTCCTTTCTTAACAAAGAGCTTGAAGGTTGATGATTTAGAGAAATTTGTATTGTCTGATTGTTGGCCTCTAGACTATAATGTATTCTTTGGAAGCGAGTCGATCTTAAGTGTTGTACAATGTATTCCAGTGCAAAGCACTACGGCAGTTTGATACATGTGAATTCTGTAAGCTGCAAAGTTCTACATAATGTAATACATGATTAACTGGTCACATATTAACCTGAATTGAAATAAACTTGGATAAAAGTTACATAAAGATTTGGTGACAGATTTTTTGTTGTTGTGATATGTTTCTGATTTCCTACTTCAAAAACCCTTTGAAATTAGTTGCTTGTGATTAAAACATGCGCGCGCACTGTATATAGCCGTTGTCAAGACAACACAAAGCCAAACTGCAGTCAATTCAAACAAGTACACAAAACCATTGGTGCTAACTCGGTCATGCAGTGCATGTACCCTACTTCTATTGATGTGCTCATTCATGTAAAGTGTGCCTATTTTTAAGATTTTAAGGTTGGCAGTACAATTGAATTGGGGCGTCATGACAACACCAAGCAGTCCACTTTGTACTTGGTTTTAGCACATCACAGTCACCACAAACTTTGAAAGCAAAGCTTTTGGGCAATCTGCCATCCCGACAGCCAACAATAGCTTCAATGATTAAACCTTGAATGGAGCAAGGCCAGTGTAATTTGGTTGGGAATATATGAATTGGTTATTGACTACGTTGTCAAGGTCACCTGGCCACTGGGGCTATTATACTAGTAATGACAGTGCGCCATGGCTTTGAATTGTCACTATCCAGCGCTGTTCAGTTGTGCGGAGGCGTTTTGTTGATAGTTACCTGTGTAAATCAGCATTTGGCAAACACCACCTGTACAATTTATTGAGTGGCAAGAGAGATTTCAGCAAAAGGACCCTGTGAAAACCAGGTCTATTTTGCTTTGAGCATCAACCTTGATACTTCCACTGCAGTGGTAAGTTCTATTTAATTTGTACTTTTCTGAAAAACACATTTAATAGCGTGTGACTAATTTGTGACAAATAATGATAATTATAAACATAAGTGCCACATGTTGATGACTTGTGATTTTTGTTTTTTGCAATTGTTTACAATAATGCCATTTGAGTGCAGAGAAAAGGTTGTGATGAATCTGCATGGCTCTTGTCTCCACAATCCTGACAAAATTTAAGCTAAGTTTGATCAAATAAATTTCAAATGACATATTTCTTTCAGAATTGTAATATTCAAATTTTAATAACATGTAGCAGCCCATCTGAAACCCTTGGTGCTACAAGTGTAGTACTGTCGGGGAAACGGTTCCGTTTGTAATTCCTTGGGCCCTCAAATCAGTTGCATGGCTAATTTTAAAATTCTGTAAATGCCGACAAACTCGTGGCTGTTTTTGTAAAATTGATGTTCTTACATTTTTTTTTAAGAAATGGGAACCGCATCAAGCGCCAGGCGAGCTGGTGCAAGCAGTGGTGCCAGTGGCCCTCCCTCGAATGTCGTCTGGATAAATCCAAGATATGGCATTAGATTCGGTGGCGATGGCGGCCGTCGTCGGCGTGTCCGCGCCACCCCAGCCGTTGAAGAGAGGCGGAGTCCAACACCGCCACCAACCAACACCCAATTGAAGGTTCCTTTAAACATTTTCCTGTTCTCCGAATATGTTGCTAAGTTGTTTTTTGTTCAAATTTCCATGACTCCTTGGCAGTATATACACTAACTGTTGGGATGTCAAGTTTTCTCTGAATTTTGCCCTTAGATGTCCACTTTATGATACATTTACCACTACTATTTGTGTCTATTTATTGAAAAAATATATGTAATATTCAAAATTGGTCCAGTGTTTGATTGATTAATTTTGTGTTGTTTTTCCCCCTGACTTTGGGTGTCATTTATTTTTCTTTATAGATTTTCTGAATTTCCTCTATACATTTTCATTTTCTTCCAAACTAAGCAGGTGTTTTGTATTTGTTTGGTTGTTTGTTTATTTTGGATTTGGTCTCCATCCACTTGTACCTATCTGCAAGGGCGGATCCAGAAAACACTTTGGGGGGGGGGGCCAAAAAAATTTAGGTCCCCCCAAAAAGTGGGTCCAGAAAATTATGGCGTGGGAAGGGCCCAGAAATTTTTTTGGATTCTAGATGCTCTGTGGTGCGATCTGAGGCAATTTCTGACCACTTTAACCAATGTTTTTTTTAAGGAAAAGATGGTGGTGTACTCATTGCCTGCATTTATTGCGATGTCACAAAAAAAAAAAAAAAATTGGTTTCGTTTTTTTTTTTGGGGGGGGGGGGCCATGGCCCCCTTTAACCCCCCCCCCTGGATCCGCCCTTGCCTATCTGACTTGTTGGTGATGTCCCTGACCATACATTGCATGCATTGTAATGTCAATAAATGATTTATGAATTGAATTGAATTGAAGGTCATGAGTGCAAACTTGATGGAGAGGAGCAACAAGTTTCTGCACTTCACATCTGATATTGATGAGGTGGATGGCTTGGTGGTGAGACGTGGCCAAGCATTCAAGGTGCAACTGACACTGAATCACCCTTACGATACAAGCACCGATGATATCGCTTTTGACTTTAAAACAGGTATGCAGAGACAATTGCAACATATAAGACACAATACGGTTAGGGTCAATATCTACTTGACAATAAGTTACCTGTGCCTCACAAACTTTGATGTGTCTCAGAAACCTTTATGTGACCAAAAGTAATTTTCGTGAACAGGTGCCACATGATAAAATTACAATTTGCACTTTCGACTGAAACAAGAAACAAGTCTAGTTATATATGTTGAGGAATATTCATTTTACATTCATGGATGCATACATTGTAATTTACAGCATTTATTATCACAGAGGTACATGTAAAACCTCAGGGTTGGCTTGTTGAATCCATGAATTAAAACAACCAGTTCCACTTGTCAGACATGTCAGTTAACGGAATTGTATTAATTTTTTTACTTCAAATTTCTACAGGAGAAACTCAGAATTTCCAGAAAAGAACACGGGTGCTTGTGTCACTCCGTGAGCCCCGCCTGTCATTAGCTGGAGGATGGAAGGCAGAAATTGAGACACAGGAGGAGAAAACAATCACTGTGTCTATCGTTGCTTCACCTGATGCCTTGGTTGGAAAGTACTCCCTTCAAGTGCGTACGACAGTTCAATCAGGTAAGGCAGCATTAGTTTGACACTTCTTGGACATCTTAAGTTCGACAAAGTCCCGCCATGATCCCAAGATTTCAGGAGTGCGCCCTTGACTACTACCACGTCTCTCATGCAGTTTCCACTTTGTCAGCCAAGCAATCTGTGCTTCACAGATCCAACCACGGATTAAAGTGGTCAGAAATGGGCTCAGATCGTACCATATATCGTACAGAACCCAACATTTTTTGGGGAGCCCTTAAGTGGGCTAACTCCACATCGTTAGGGCTTCGCGTTGGCATTAGGCCTACTTTGCCCCTGCCCATGACGGAAACATTTCCAACTTTTACATTTTTTTGTTGGAATATCGTCCTTGGATCCAACAGGTATGGCAGACCAGTGTAGAGTCTGGATCAACTATGCATTTTTGGGGTCTATCTCTTTAGCTTTCAGGATTCAGTCAGACTCACATATTGTAACTGTCTCATGAACTGTCATGTACCATACACTTTTCTTTCCAGTGATGCTGTCTAGCACGTTTAGATGGCACAGTGCTTCATGTTGGCTTTCAGGGTGTCCTATCATTGTTCCACTTTGTAGGGGCACCAGTCTTATACGCTTGCCGCAGCCGGCTAACCATAGAGGGTGGCCTGAATGAGTTGGCTGTCATCCATACATGCTTTTATCATCGTTAGTGAACAATATAAAACGTAATGCTTATGTAGCGCATTCCATCGTATGAACAATCTCAAAGCTCTTAAAAATTTATTCCCCCATTTATCAGGCCAGCGGCAGCCATATCAGCGCACATTCGGTCCTCTGCCCTCACAGGTACCCATTCATACTCCTGGGTTGAGAGAGGCCATTGTGGTTTAGTGTTTTGCCCAAGGGCACAGACGCCATGTTCCTGGCAGGATTCGAACCCACGCACCATCGTTCATGAGTCAAACACATAACCACTGGACCATGGCATTCCAGTTTTAGTTGACATAGTTAGCATGTTATGAGCCTTCTTTCATTCACCCATGTTCTTGGATCAATTCTGATCTTTATCTGAATCCTGTACTAGTTTGGTACCTGGTACCGGGTACCAAGTGTAGTTTGTAGAAGGACAAACGTGATATAATTGATTTTGCAGAACTCGTAATCGGCAGAAGCATTCTGTACTTGTAGCTTGTTATATTATTTTGAGGAAGACTGTGAAGCAATGTATTTTTTTCTTGCCTGTTCGTGTAAAAACAGGTGACTCCACCGATCCCCAGCGATACATGTTCAAGGAGCCCCTGCCGGTCTTTCTGCTCTTCAACGCCTGGTGCGAGACTGATCAGGTCTACCTGGAGGAGGAGGATGAACGGAAGGAGTATGTGCTGAACGAGAAGGGTTTCATCTGGTACGGCAACTGGAGACAGCTGGGCAGGAGGCCCTGGGGTTTCAACCAATTTGAGAAGACTGTCTTTGAGGCTGTTATGTATCTGCTGGAAAGACATGTAGGTATCAGAGTGGATCTTGTAAAATATATCAGAGCTTTGGTTTCAGAGGGATAGGAGGAGGAATTTTGCCTGTGTCCCTAAAATACTTGCCCTCAATCCCTCCTCCCTGTTGCTTTCCTAACATAAGAAATCTAAAACAGTTTTCACATGGTGAGAAAGGGGCATTTAAAACAGGCTTAAAGCTATAGTCCATCATTTGCAGCCATCTGAAAAGTAACTGGCGTAATTATTGTTGAAAAACATACTCGGTTGAAAGATAGTAAGGGGACTAAACTCCCTGTGAAATTATTCTTTCTGGCAAGCTGTCATTTTGAAGTAATCAACGAAAGAAGGCCTTTCCAACGGTGCGTCTTTAGACGCACCATAGGAAAATTTAAATTAGTAGTTTGTTTTGTTATTCGGCGAAGCGCACGCAAGCATTGGCACGACGCACACGCTTGCGCGGTTGCTATAATTTGTCGGATCAGTGCGCGACATCGCGTATAGCTGCAATCGGCTCAGTGAGAACGCGTCTCGGACGCTGAATTCAGGCCAATTCAAAACATGATTCAGCAACTTTTGATTTGAAATTGAGATCCTAGAATGCTGTTTTTCTCGGAATATACAGCTGAAGCTGAGCTGAAACTTCATCTGGTTAGTTGTTCAGTATCCTTCATTATATTTTGAACACTTTTGTTGCTTCAAACGAACAAAATGCACAAATTACAAATGATGGACTATATCTTTAAGCATAGCTGTTCTGCTATTATAGGCGTTGTGTTTACAAGGACCAACATTGGGAACAAAATAGGTTGGACCCATCCTTTTTCAGTGTGTAATGCAAGTGCTTGAAAGCCCCAACGTATATGCAAAAGCTTTGATTGGGAGGGTTGGTACAATGGTACAATGACTTCAGTTTTCATTTAAAGAATGCAAGTTCATTCCAGGGTAGGATTGCGTTTGTTGGCTGGAGTGTCCCAAAACAGTCCTACTTTGTCGTGAAGTCCTATAGTATTGCATATGAATAATGCCAGATACAAACTATGACTTGTAGCCTTATTGAGGGACCAACAAGTTAAAAGTTGTGCATGTTTATTCAGACTTTGCTTTAAGTTTTGTTTCCCTCAAGAAAAAATAACATCTAAATGTCTGATGAATGAAACAAACATTCTTTACAGAAGTGAGTTCATATTTTTTTTTAATAACAAGGTGGAGGGCTTGCAGGTTTGAAGTCACTTCAGTAAATTTTCTTTGTTTAACTGACAACTTCAATCAACTTAGACAACATTACATTACTGCTGAAACATTGATATATGATATTGTTGTATCCTGGTATATTTACCAATACCAAGGAGGAGTCGCACTGGAGTCGCACAGTTGAACCGACTGGGGAAAGGGTTGACACGGAAGACAAACCACATGTACACAGGTGTAGGTTCACGAAACGACTGACTGTACTGGGTCGCATGCAGCAGGCAGCATGGCCCAAGTCACACCTGACTGGTTTATTAAGTAATGTGCATACTGGTCACAACAATATATAATAGGCTCGATCTTGTGGTGATTTACTATGATAGTGATACGACTGATTGTTTTCTAGGTGGTTGATTATGAGCGTGGAAGTTCTGTCAGTGTCAGCCGTGTCATGTCAGCAGCTATTAACGCTCAAGATGATGGTGGAGTCTTGACTGGTCGCTGGGACGGCGATTATCGCCCACATGCTCGTCCTACGTCATGGACAGGCAGCCAACGCATTCTGGAGGTGAGTACAACTTAACGACATTAGATCTTGTCGGACTACTTGCTGACATTTTGATAGTTTTTATGTGCTTTACCAGTTCTGGTCGGACGACGTGATAACATGCACTGGCTGTTTTTATACACAGGCACGGCTGACAGGTTAAGGCATCAAGATTACCTCGACTTGCCCCCTGGTGACGTCTAAACACGCCAATCCCTCGTGCCTTTTGTACACATACAAGTCCGTAAAGTCTGTGGAGGCGGACCCTGTGTTGATCTTGAATTGGCTGTTGTGCATGGCCTATCGCACAATTTATGCTCCATTGCACACCCCAGAGTATTAAAACATATGAGCTTTTGGCAAGAAATATCGTACAAATACTGTTGAAATGACTCTTGCGAATCAGTATTTTTGGCTGTATATCACAAGTTGGCTGGAAAAAATTGCCTTTTGCAAAAAACCCATTGCGAAGTGGAAATTTTTATTTTGGGGGGGGGAAATTCGTATTCGAGTTACAAAGAGGCATGAAAAGACAATCACAAATCGCAAAATGAATTGTAAGGAAGTTTACATCTTTGCTATTGTTCGCCCCATTACAGGTGTACATAGTTTTTGTTATGATTTTTTACCTAATTATGGGTTCTTCTTCATAATAATAATAATAATAATAATTATTAACATTTTTATTGCGCTCTCTCCAGAACCAGCCTGTTCGAGAGCGCATTACATATTTAAGAATTTCATCAATAGAAATAAGAAATTCAGATGGTTTCTGGTCAGACTCCATCATACGTTTGTAGAAACAATAATCTTGTTAATCATTTCATACGATAAAAGACCAAGTCAGGTTCCAGGGCCTCAGACATAACAGGAAGCAGAGAATTTGGAAAAGGTCCAATGCTTGCTGGAACCCTGCATAAAATCGACCCGTGTATCATTGTATCTAAAAGTATTTGCAACTGTATGCCTATGTCTGTGTCTTGAATTTACTCAGGAGCATTTCAAGACTAAAGCTCCGGTTCGTTACGGCCAATGCTGGGTGTTCTCAGGCGTCTTTACTACTGTTCTTCGATGTCTTGGCATACCGGCAAGGAGTGTGACCAACTACGCATCTGCCCATGATAGCGACAACAGTCTGTCCATTGTAAGTTGGCTTTTGAAGTTAAAGGTTCTCCTGAAAACAACATTCTAAATGTAACACACGTTTTGAATTTTTGATGAGGAGGTGTTGAAGAGATGTCTCTTAAATAGGTGAAGCAGAACACTAGAAATTTGACAGAGTTTGAGTTCAGTATGAAAGACGTGGAAGGTGAGGAAAAGACGTACTGTGCGAACCTGACTCTCCTCTTCTCTGGGCTTAGTAGAGAGACCTTGTTTCAAAAAGATGGCATACTACCGACAAAAAATGGAATTTTATAAACCAACGATTTGTTGTAATGGACTGAAGCTAAATAACGTCTGTTATGTCATGTTCACAGCATAATAGATATGATCATGAGTAAACATTAAATCAGCCATTTATCCACTCAGAGTGCATTGTTTTTAATTCAGTGTGATTTAGGCAATTACATCAAATTCCATTTTCAAAGAGTTAACATCAAAGAGTGAGTCACATGCCTTGATACTGCAACTTACACTACTGCCAGCAGATGGCCTGTATTCCACCATCTATTTCTCCTGTTATCTGCAAATACAGGACAGGTTTTACGACGAGGACAACGAGAGGTTGGAAAGGTATGAAAGTGACTCCATCTGGAACTTCCATGTCTGGAACGAAGCTTGGATGAGTCGTCCTGAACTCCCAGCAGGCTATGGAGGCTGGCAGGCTGTTGATGCCACACCTCAAGAAACCAGTGATGGTATTTACATTGTTTTTTTTTTCCTTTAATGGGGGAGCCAAATTTGGTATCTTCTTTTATCTAAAACAATCAAAGTCTGGTAATTTAGACAAACTGAAATTGGGAGGCATTCTGGCAAAAGGAGACAGAACTGGGCAGAGGACCAAATGAGGGTTTGGGGGTATTAGGAAAGAGAATAAAAGTCTCCGTACAATACCGTTTGTCGCACTTCAATCGGACATTCCATTGACAAGTTACGGCTGTTTGAAGTTCATGCTTATCGACATGTCAAAAATTAAAACGCTGAGAAAAAGGCCTTTAAAGTTTCGAGTTTTGTAGTTTTGAAAATAAAAGATGCCAACTGGTTTTTCCTTGAAAAACACTTATTTTGTACAATTGTTGTACTATTTCTCTAAAATATGTGTAATAGACATATTAAAGATTACAAATATCAATAAATCTAGAATCGAAAAAATCATCACTCCCATTTGGTTTTTTGCAATTTTCTCCAGTACGGCCTGTGACCAGTTCTGTCTCACAAATGTCTGGTTACTTCCTTAACATTAACTCCCTTGGGTGTGCGAAATATCATATTAACATTGGAGGATTTACTGTTAGAATTATAGTCTCATAGAAGGAATGGGTTTCCCACTCTGGTCCATAGGATTCATAAACTCATCAATGACCCATTCATGAGTGCATCTTTAGCTTGTGCTCTAAAACCCACTGCTAGACACCAAACAACACGACTTGCTCACTAAAGCTGTAGCAGTGAGTGGGCCGTTCACCCTTTAGAGGGTTCAGAACCAACCCACTCAGTATACCATTTGGTGTCCTTTGTCCACCCTCAGGTATCTACTGCGCCGGACCGTGCTCTGTTAATGCTATCAAGCAAGGCCACGTCTACTATCCGTATGACGCGAGATTTGTCTTTGCTGAAGTGAACGGTGACATTGTTAACTGGCGGGTGAGTTTACACCATGTCAAATTATTCCTCACTGTGCATTATCTGAGTACATGTAGTCCTGGCTTTGCAGGCTCCCTAAACCCCCTGCAGGTAGCAAAGTCCCTCTTCCAGCTGGCATTTCCAAGGCAATGAAGTGTCCTGACAATTCAAGACATATACATTAAGTTTAAAAAAGTATACCGTATTTTTTTTTTCAGTTACATCAACTATTTAACATTGTTGTTTGCAGCTGAAGTACGAAGTATATTTTTTTTTCCTTTTTTGAATGCATGAAACATCGCGGATTGTGAGTTCGACATGGAAGTCATTTTATGAGAATTCAGGACCTATGGCCGGCATTGAAAAAGGAATTTGATATATTTTTGTGGTATCATAATTATCCTGCCTTTCCAGGTGAAAAGAGACCGAACTACTGAAGTGATCAAGGTCAAGAGCAGCCATGTGGGCAAGAACATAAGTACAAAGGCAGTGGGCTCAAGTGACAGGCAGGATTTGACTATGGAGTACAAACACGCAGAAGGTAAATTATTAGTTATCCCATTAGTGCGAGAGGAACACGGAATAATGAAGTGCGTCTGTGTCCCACATTCGGCGAGGCCGAGGGCCAAGTGGTTTTTGGGATGCAGCCACACTACTTTTTCTGTGTTCCACGAGTGCGAGTGGTGAGGTAACAAATTTATCTTCAAGAAAATTTGACGCACAGTAAAAGTGGCACGAGCACACTCTACACAAATTTTCCTGTGGTCATTTTTGTTAGAAGTGCATGCATCAGAAATGGCGGAATGGACCGTGGTGTATGGAATACTACCACACTGTTGTTGCCATGGATTGACCAATTAGGATCAAGGATTCAAGTTTTCTTGGAGATAAAAGACATCATTGCTATATTGAGAATAGGATTGGGGGGGGGGGGGGGGGGGCTGGGGGTGATGCGGAGGCCAATGGACGCCCCATTGCCTGATTATGTTAGCCTACAAAGTACTGATCATCTTACCACCCCCGCCCCACGAAGCAAGATTTGTTTCCCTCCCTCCTGTCTGATTTCTGTATCATCCCCTGAGCAAGGAGGTGAATAAGAAATGTTGAGCTTCTTACTTCAACCTCATTTTGTGAGAACGGGTCACATAAAAAGCAGTCCCGAATATTTTGTACTTGTTTGAGGAAGATGCTGAAACCTTACATTTAGTTAAATTTAACTGTTTTGTTTTTTCTGATTTGATTTGATTTTTGTATTGCGCCATGAGCGTCATTTATGGCGAATACCGGCGCGTTATAAATTATTATTATTATTATTATTATTGACCATTTATTGATCTACTCCTCAGGTTCTGCAGCTGAAAGAGCTGCTGTCAAAACCGCAACTTCTTACGGAAGCAAACCTGGAATTTATGACTCACCTGAAAACACAGAGGATGTAGACGTCCAGCTTGACTTCCAAGACCTCTTCGTTGGAGCAGACTTTGACATCAAGGTGCCATTGACCAATAAGAGTGAAGAAGACCGAACAGTTTCAATCACGGTCATTGTGCAGGTGGTTTACTATACTGGTACGTCAAAATGTAAACTGTTCGTATGTATGTAACCAATGAAAACACTACCTTGGTTGTTGTAATGTAAAGTTGGGACTCAGACATGTAATTCAATAAGGCAAACTTTTTAAAATTAGTCAGCCACTTTTAGCGGGCTGACTTGTCAAATGGTCAGGAATTATGTGTTAAGCTTTTAATTGTATTTTTTTTCCAAACCGTGCCAGTGCAAGTTCTTTTTTTTACCGGCACAAGAGGGGGTACTGAACATTAAGTGATACAATACTTAATTTGTGACATGGATAATTAAAGGTACGGTAGATCATTTTACATTTGTGCATTTTTTTCTGGTTTGAAGCAACACAAGTGCTCAAAATCTAAAGGTGCTAAGCAACTAACCTGAAAAAGTGTTAGCTCTGTGAATTCTGTTTATTTCAAGAAAACAATATTCTAGGTCCTTGATTTCAATTGCAGCTACGCGATGTCATGCATTGAACAGACGAATAATAGTAACTACACCTGTGTGCGTCGCGTAAACGCCTGCACGCACCTATTCACAGATTTGCCGAATTACAAACCAACTTACTAAAAAAATGTGTCACTTGATGCATGTTTGCAAATGGTCTTCTTTTATTGTTTTCTTCAAAATGACAGCATACAAGAAAGAATAATTTCACAGGGGGTTTATTGCCATCCTGATCTTTAAACAAAGTGAGCTCTTCAACAATAATTTTGTCAGTTACTTTTTGGATAGCTGCAAATGATCATACTCTACTGTAAAAGTTTGTAACTTTTTCTCCTATTTTGGAACAAGAGGAAACTTTTTACCAGTTATAGATCTTTTGGTGTGGTTTAACAAAATATTACATTTTGCCCTTGTACATGTATGTACTTCCCAATATAAATGATAACAATCTTCCTTTTTTTGGGTGGTTTTGTTAAGGTGTTCTCGCTGACAAAATTAAAAGAATTGACGAAACAATACGGCTTGGACCAGGCCTCAATCATCAGTTGAACTTTAAAATTGATGCTGACGAGTACCTTGACAAGATGGTGGACCAGTCGGCATTCAAAGTGTTTCTTCTCGGCCATGTTGATGTAAGTATAAAGTTATTGTCTTTTTCTTCTTCTAGTATCTAACAAATCTTTCTTAATTCTGGAGTGTCTTTCTTTGAATGATTTTCTGACTGAAACCACGACGTCAATCCATCTCTGCTTGTCAGTAAGGGAGGGGTAGTGGGGAGAAAAGGGGAATTGTTAAAAGGTAGATTTAGGGAAAGTGGTCATCCACCCATGTCTCCTGTCTTGACATTGTTAAACATTTATGAAATGATGGAAACATAATCTCCAAAGGTCTTTCAAGAAATGATGCAATACACTATTGCAAATCTTTAGTTCATTCATTAAGGCGTGTTGGTCTGTGTACTTGCTGACTTCTACACCTCAGCCACTTCTGCTATTCTTGAAAAATCCAATGTTCAAGATTTGTTTAAGGCATGTACTTCAAAAGTACAGTGACTCATTTCCACCGTTTGATCACAAATGATGATCATCTACACGTTCTTCCCTCTCTAGGAGACAGGACAGGCATTTGCAGAGGAGGAGGATTTCCGTCTGCGCACCCCGGACCTTGACGTCAAGCTGCTACGGCCTGCAGCCAGTGAGATGAAGGTGGGACAGGAGGTTGAAGTGGAGCTCAGTCTTCAGAACCCTCTGAAGAAGACGCTGACAAACTGTGAGATAAGCGTCGACGGTTCAGGGCTGTTGGCTCCTCGTGTCATCAAACTCAGGTCAGTGCTTGCAGTTTAAAGTTGCTGTCCCCATTTGATTTGCACACCGAAACATATCTGTTGTTTTTAAATTTCTATTTTCTAGCAGTACAAATATTATTCTCTTTTGAATGCATATCAAACAAAAAATAATAATCTGCCTATGCTTAGTTATGGAAAATTTGTTCTACACATGTGGAATTATTTGTGGTCCCACAATAATTCCGCCTCGGGTAATTATCAGCATTCCAGACTCTAACCAGTCTTAAACATAGTGTTCAACACCTCACCAAGTTATTTATTCCCTTACTAAAGCACATTGAGCATTTTTTATTGGTTCATTAACCCAGTAGCATTTGTACTACATTGTATTACATTGTGTTTATTCACTGAAAAATCAATAAAACCATAAGGCTTTTTCACACTAGAACCACTCAAACCGGGTTGAACTCAACCCTGGGCAAACCCAGTGCCGCCCAGGGTTGAGTTTTGTATTTTTCATCCCCACGTCGTTTCACACTTGTTTCCTGCAAACCGAGCTTATGTCGCTCGATTACTACTGTTTGGGATTCTGGCGAGAGTCTCAACCCTGGTCTGGAGCAGGGTTGACTTCAACCTGGAACAAATTCAATCTCAGGCTTGACGCAGGGTTGGCGCAGGGTTGAACAATTTCAAGTGTGAAACGCTGCATGTTTTCAACCCTGCATGTTTTCAACCCTGCATCAACCCTGCGTCAACCCTGAGATGCGCCTTGTGTGAAAAGGCTTATAGAGTGCTCAGGTGGTTTTGGGCACTACAATGAGTAATAGGCAGGATGGTTTTGGGAACTGGGGTGACTTAAAGGTTAAACTACCGTATAAACCAGGTCAATTAAACAGTACCCCTAAAGTAAACAAATTAAAAACAGACAAACGGACAAACATTAAAAGTTACAAAATACACTTATTTTCCCACCTACCTACCAGGATGACTTTTAGGGTGTTACAGCAGACACACAATATTTTTGTTAGCCTTGTGGTGCTAAAGTTTCCATTATCTCCATTATCACCATTGAGCATGGGGTATCTATTGTATACATGCCTGCAACAATTACATGCATATCAGTGTAAAACCAGGCACTTAATCTCAATACTCAGATACGAAAGCAGTTATACCTGTATGTCTTTCTTCTGCTGATTAGCCTACAACAAACTGCCCGCACAATATACCCCCTCAAAGGTTACAGAGTGAGGGCAAGGCAGGACTTCTGAATGAAATAATAATATGCAGTTCAAATAAAGTGCATATAGCACCATTAGGCTGCTATTTTCATTGGAATATACGCTTTGATGCGGTATGCTTTCAGTTTACTCTGCATCATGCGTGCTGGAAGCGCACATGCAGAATCTACCATGCATGGAGTTTCATGAGAAGTCAAAAGGTGCAATCTTTTGTTCCTGCACTGATTCCTAATCAACTCGGGCGATTCACAATGCAGTGCGCCATCAAGAGTTTGCCATGGAGAGTTCTTTTTTTAAATTTACGGTCGACAAAACATGGCCCATTTGAATGAGTGTCAGTAGACAACTTGAGCTAATCTGTTATAGATTGGGGCATAGCGTTCTACCGCCTTAAAAAAAACAACATTGATAAAAAGAAAAGAAAAGGGCAAACATATACTCGAATCATACGCTCACGAAACTATACTGACCGGAAAAAACTAACAATTTCAAATGTCCTGCGCTGTGAATTTGTTGAACATCTCCCACACTGCACTGGGAAAAATGAACTCTCCATGGCAAACTCTTGGTATTGCACTGCATTGTGAATCGCCCAAATTGGAATGGTTTATTTCAATCAGTGCTTATAATAAGCACGTGGTAACTAAGAGGTTCATGAATACATTCATAGCATAATCTGTAGACTGTTCTGGTCATGTTTTTAACATACGCAGTGAAACTTATATGGGACATTTGTTGAGGAAAACACGTCAAATGAGAAAACGTTGAATTGGTATATTCTCATTATTACTTCATTGCCCCACCTCCAAATCAGGATGTTGACACACCTCTTTTGTTGGTATATTAGGTAACTTTCCTAAACATCCTTTTCTTTTACAACAGTAATTTGGCGGCGGGTGGAACACTCACTAAAACCGTCAACTTCAAACCTCGGAAAGCTGGTGAGAGGACGCTGGTTGCCACCTTTGAATCGGATCAACTCTCCCAAGTGACTGGCGAACTGGATTTAAATGTCCTGTAGTTTGAATTTTAACCTGATCTAAAACTGGTATAATCTCCACCTTACTGAGTAAAAGTCTTTTGAAGCGAAATAAATGTGAAATTCCCAGTTGAAATTTTCTATGTTTGGTAGAATATAAACATGTTAAAGAGTGAGGACTCAGTGGAAACACACCAGTTAAAAAAAACTGGCAACATGTACACATTTTTCACTGGTAACTGGCCAACAATCAGACAAAACAAATTATTGTTTAAGCTCTTTGTGAAGAAAGGATACAACATTGCTTCCCTTTGTAAGGTACGGTGCAATGATTTTTCAAAAGAAATTTGTATTGTCCGATTGTTGGCCAATACTGTACACCTTAAGGGAGTCTACCAGTGTACAGAGTTTCACGTTGGGTTTAAAAACTCGTCTTTTTTTTAAGCAGGCCTTTCTTAATTCATAGGTAATGTTTCATAATGGCTGGGTTTATAATGTATTATTTAAGGTATTGATCTATACCTTTTTAAGCAGGCTTTTTTAATTCATAGGTAATGCATTTTTAATGGCTAATTTTTCCTTGCTGGGCTTATAATGTACTTATGTGCGTTGATCTATGCGTTCACTTTTTATGTGTTGGGCCTCAGCCCAACACCTATTGTTATTGTATGAATTGACTATTATTAGGTGTTGGGCCTCAACCCAACACCTATTGTTATTGTAAGAATTTACTATTATTAGGTGTTCGGCTTTAAGCCCAACAACTATTGTTTTTGTAAGGGTTTACTATTATTTTTTTTTTATTCAAGACAGATTCTTCTCCGGAACTGTTTGTCAAAATGAAAACATATATTAACTTCAATTGTCAATACATGAATGCACAACCCACTGCAGATGTGCTTTTTTGCAATCACGTCATCATGACGTCATCATGGGTCACGTGACGTCACTTCAAAAAATAATAAATTTAATCTTTGAAATTCAACATAAAATCAACCGTGAGAGACCGGAACTTGAAATTTGCAATGATACACGATCTTCAATTTATCTTGTGCGTGTAAAATCACGTGACCCTTCCTTCCGATCGAAACCGGAAGTGCCTAATAATTTGTACCGCTAGAGACCATATAACGACGTTTGAGTCAGAATAAATAAATGTAACAAAAAGAGGGCGCTTTTTCATCTAACCGACTTGTTTGGGGAAAAAACGGTTATTTCCATAATGCATTGCGAAATATAGGCATTGCGAAACAGGAAATAACTTGCATTACTTTTGTGGACTTAACAACTCTCTTGAAAATTGTAATTAAAAGTTACAATATTGAAGGTGCAGTTCGATCGGCAAGACAGAAGTTCGGAGGACTGTTTTTCAGCAAATTATAGTGAGTATAGAAGCTGACATATAATGTTCGCTACACAATTTTCGCTAACTTTTAGTCATGTTTGCGCACGTTTAGATTTTGAATGATGACAAATATAGTATAGGCCTACACGTTGCATCGTGGCTGTGTATAACAAACCAGGCAATTTGTGCACAAACCTATGGGACTGTGCACCAGTTGAAACTTTTATACGATTCCTCCTCATTGCATAACGAATTTGAGTGATCGTCTTTTCTACATGTTCGTACATTATTGCATGTGTGTAACTTAACACTAAACATAGTTGTTAGTGTGACGCCCCAACTTAATTGACCATGCTCCCAGCTTTGGCTGGGATCGTCCGAACCGTGTGCTTCAGTTCAGTTGAGACACTTCCGATAGGATGAAACATGCAAAACTATAGTTAGGCCAGCTTGACGCTCTATAATAGCTGACAAAATTCTCCACACATTTCACGAGGCAAATGCAAGGTTCTCAGCACTTCATCATTCAAGTTGAGGTCTCAATTCAATTTTTAGCTGTTTCGGTGACACACCGAAACAGCTCTTGTTTTCGTTAAGATTTTTTTTTTTTTTTTTTTTCTCCTTTTTCAGACTTTTTCTCCATAGGTTTAACACACGTTTCTTCAGCCAGTCCACTTTGCCACTTTTTTAAATCCGATCGATTTCAGACTTGGTACATACTTAGACCACCACCCACAGATGGTCCTAGAAGAAATTTGTGATCGTGACGTCATCAGGTGTCAGGTTACGTCACATTAAAGATGCATTTTTCCCCATATGTTTTGTACACGTTTTAAAACACTCCAGTTTGGCATCTTCGTAAATCCGATCGACTTTAAACTTAATTCATACTTAGACCACCACCCACAGATGGTCCTAGACGAAATTCGTGATCGTGACGTCATCAAGAGTCAGGTTACGTCACATTAAAGATGCATTTTTCCCCATAGGGTTTGTACATGTTTTAAAACGCTCCATTCCGGCACTTTCGTAAATCCGATCGACGTTACACTTGGTACACACTTAGACCATCACCCACAGATGGTCCTAGAAGAAATTCGTGATCGTGACATCATAAGGTTTCAGGTTACGTTACATTAAAGATGCATTTCCCCCATAGGGTTTGTACACGTTTTAAAACACTCTACTTTGGCACTTTCGTAAATGCGATTCATGTTAGACTTCGAACACTTCTATACATGTATGTCTGATTGACTTTACACTTGTCAGACACTAGTAATACCAGCAGCCTAAGGTGGTCCCCAGTGAGTTCATAACGATGACGTCATCATGTGTCACGCGACGTGACATTAAATGAGCATTTCTTCGAATCGCTATAACTTCGAAAGTACAAGTCCGATTGGATTAAAACTTGGTATGCACATTCACAGGGATGGTTTATAGATGAAAATTGAAGTGACGCCATCATCAAATGTCATGTGACGTCCCTTAAAGGGGCATTTTATTCTTTTATAGGCCTATATCTACAGAACTATAATGTTCGATTTGGTTTTACTTGACATAATGTGCTTTTATAGATGACATATACAGTGACGTCACTGATTGTTTGTCACGTGCACAGAGTATTTCAAATATCCAAAACAGCTTGTGTTTGTCCACAAACACATTTCTAGTTAAATGTAACTTTTCTTCAAAATTTTGCACCTGAAAAGCAAAATTATTAGATTTGAATCCTAAGACTAGACTGGTACATGTCCAACTGTTTGAAGAGACTGACCCCATCAGTAGTCTGGGGGCATGCCTGATGGAGAAAATATGCCACAGAGATTAGGAACTACATGTTTCTTTTGACACAGTTGATTGATGCAGTATTAAAACATGGCTGAAGGAAGCAGATGCTACAAATCTAGAACACATAAAGCAGATGATCCTTTTTTCTCGGAAAGTGTGCTTCATTTTTATTCAACCTTTTATTTTTCAAACTAACAACAAACCACAATATATTCTCATGCCAGATTAAATTCACAACGTTAACCACAACTTCATGAACAATGTTTGCGTTCTTGATGCAGTAATTAGTGTTACATTAGCCGCTGAATGGAAAACCTCACTTTTCGCGCTATTTTGCAATGCTCTTTATGTTGACGTAGGAATGTGACATTTATTGTACACATGGAGTAAAAACTCACAATTTTATTTCATAATCTGAGAGATTATTCGTGTAGGCACACCAAATTTTTGTAGACGTTTCAGTCGCTATTATTAGCCCATTATATAACCTTGTTTTCACTGCACTATATAATGTGTTTTTCTCGGCTGTGTGTACCAACTGGCACCTTTAAAAGCACGTGTACTACACAGATCAGAAACTCATGATTTTATATCTTTAAAGGAAACTACCATCTGCAAGACAATAATTACCATCATTTGTAGGATGAATTCTTTCCTTTTCCTTTGAGTATCCGAATCTAAACTTAGAGTGATTTTCAAACAACGGTGTCTCGTCCCCTTCATGCATTCAGAAGCCACAATTATGATGACTAAAACGCCTTCCCCAATCCGATTTCTGGCTCCGCCCCGGCTGTAGCACATTGTAACTAAAAAGTAATTACCAGCGTCATTGCAATATGTATCAAAATGTATGATGGCTTTCATGCAGTGAATGGAACGGACGCAGGTATCACAGGTACTGTGTATACACACCGTACTTAAACATCCGCCATTGAACTCCATGTATTTACATGTATAACCCTGCTACACACTCCTCCTAGCCTCTTTGTAGCAGACACGTCGTCCGCCAAACTTGTTTTTGCTTTGCTAAAATTCAACACTCGACACCAGTGATGTAGTGCCTTGATGCTGGGCCTTGGCCTTAAGGCTGCCTTAAGGCTGGATTTTAGGGCCTTGGCCTTGGCCTCGAGGCTTGATGGCAAAAGCCTTGGCCTTGGCCTTGAGGGTTCAGGGCCTTGCAATTTTGAGTCGAGGCTCTTTAAGGCCCATAGATTTTTGCATTTTCCAGATAAATCTGTTCGGAATTTTGCTGTTACCATTTTAATCGTATTACCATGGAGGAGGGAAGCACCCTATAGATTTGTGTGTTGGGCACACTTCCACTTTTGTAGCATCACATTTTGTTACCATTGTAGTAGATTTGCTGCAAAAATATTCCGTACACTTGTGGGGCTAATGAGATGATCACTTTAATTGCATACAATTATGGAAAAGATCTGATTGGTTGTATATGTCTCCCTGATAAATGCTAAAGATTTGCATGTATCTGTTTTAGATAATGCTGATATTTCTGACCATGTTGGGCCAGCAAATAAAAATTTCCCAAATCAGTTTCTTGGATCCCCTTTTGTTACACTTGGGAGAATTGTGTGTCAATATAGAAGTAAATCATTATTTTGTTTAGTTAAAGCATATTAAAGACCTGAACTTATACTTTAAGGGGCCATTCAGAATTTTCAGTGTTTTAAAATTTCGATCTATTTTCCAAATTGTGGGTAAGTGGGTCAAGCTAAATAATTGAAAATCGAAATTCACTTTCCATGGAATAAAAGATAAAAAAACAAAGAAAGATAGATCTTTTGACTTGCCTGAACTACGCGCAAACGTTCCGATATCGCGATGCGTGTTTCTTTTCCAACTTCGTCCCCTGTATGTACTGTCAGTGGCATAGCCAAGAATTTTTCAGTGGGTGTGTGTGTGTGTGTGTGGGGGGGGGGGGGGGCTTGAACATTTCATGGGGGGGGGGGGCGTCATGTAGATCAATGATAATTTTTTTCGAAACTCAAAATCTATGTGGGGGAGGCGACTGGGGAGTGGGCGACAAGGTTTCATGGGGGGGGGGGGAGGATGGCGCCTCCCACGCCCCCCCCCCCTGGCTACGCCACTGCAGGTCATACAGTTAAAGTTTATGTAAACTTGTATGAAAAGTCAAAGAAAAGTAACTCTCATGATCTATTTGACACCAAGTTTGTGTTAACTTGCCGGTAACGCCCTAAAAAAATTATCCAGACAAATATGTTTATTTTGTAACATTTTATGTTCGTCTGTCGGTCTTCTATGCTGTTATGTTTACTTTTAGGTACCTTCAATGGTACTATGTTTAATTAACCTGTTCATTTGTTTAATTAAACTAATAATGCACATATAGTTGCCAAATATGGCACTAACAAGTTTGAGGTTGGCAATTTCGTCTTTAAAAATCTTGGTACGTCGGATTACCGTACACACAATTGTCCTGGAAACAACAGTACCAAAGTCATACGCAAGAGCTCCCCAGCAAGTATCGCTGACGCCATTAGGCCTATGATTCCAAAAATTTTCACTGTGTCACACAGTGAAATAACTAAAAAGCGTCGTTGTATTGTGGACACATAAAAGCATTCAAGTCGCGTTCTTGCACACTTTCTGCAAGTCGACTGGATATCCTTG